GCAAAATAATATTCATGATCAACATCTAGCAATTAAGTTTACTCTGTGCCAGGTACTTAACATATATAATCATATTTAGCAATAGTACTTGGCCCACAGGGTTGTGGTGTCTCAATGAGCTCATCTATATAATGTCCGTAGCACACTGCCTGGAATACAGCAAGCTGTCAATAAGTGAGCTATGATGACTGTTGTTACCACTGCTACTGCTGTTGAGTTAATGGAATAGCCACAGCCAATGGCATTACAGAAGCAAAGTACAGGGCTGAGAAGCAAGACTCTTGCTCCATATAGCAAGAGAGCTAAGAGTGAGATGGTTCAAGGTTCTTTTGACATGGTAGGGGAACAGTGCAGCTGCAGAAGAAGTAAGGAGCAGTGTGGCACCTAGCTCTACTCCGAACATGGGGATAAGATGAGGTTACTTTTGGAGATTTTGTCTGGTAAGGCTGACTGCTGTAGTAAGGGACAGCACATTCACATTTGGATTTCAGTCCTGCTTAGCTGTGTGTTTCATGACTGCGTGACCTGGATAAATCATTTAATTATTCAAAGCCTCAGTTTCCTCATTTGTAAATGGCAGAGCTACCAGGTCCTAGCTCCAATGATGGTGTAACACAGTGAGTTAAGACATGTGAAGTAACTACAGCGTACCTGCTATCTAATAAATGCTGCTATTAACATTATTCTTCCCATCACCCTGCAAAGCAGGCACATTTACCCCATTTCACAGCTGAGAAAACTGAGGCTTAAAAGGGCTCACTAGGTTGCCCAGGACACAGTTGATGGATACAAGTCTAAAATGTAAACTGAGATCTGTCTGCCCCAAACCCTGTGATCTTTTTACCACTCTACAATGCCTCCTAGAAACACTGTTCTTATTCCAGAAATGAGCACAAGGTCAGCTATAACCTAAAAAATAATAATAACAAACCAAATATGCTTCTTAGCCCTTGAGGTACCCTGACTGCTCATTTCACTTGCTTTCAACTCCAAGGAAAAGGAACTATTTATTACTTGTGGTTTGGTGATGCAGCTACTTCTTTGTTTGCCAAAGCCAGAGTCCTCTTTTCACTAAATTAGTGTCATTTTGGTGAAACAAAGGTGTTTCTGATGTTTCAGCCTTTTCATCTTCCACTAAACATCTATTGAGTGGCAGCTTTTTATTTTCAGATAAATTACTGGTGCTCCAAACACAGGGCTTCAGGTCTAAGGATTTTTCTGAGGCCTTGATTTCTCTGAGACTTGTACTTGTGCTGGGCTGGTTACATAGGAGGCTGCGCTTTGCTCATCCCTTACATGATGGCGCACTCGAACCTTTGTCTCCAGCGTTTTGGCAGATGGTGTTGCTGGCTCTGGCGCCTGATAACTCTCTGAAGCTTTGGCGTTGCTTCTTTTTTTTTGAAATAGCATGCCCTTTTAGGTGTTGCTCACATGTAACCTGTTCAGCACTGACATTCCTAGAGTTTCACTGTTCTCACCCAGGAGAGGGGTGAAAGGGGCACATTTATTTTGCTGATCTTGGGGAGAGCGAGGACTCGGGAGGATTAATGTCTCAGGAAAATGATTGGAATCGTGAGAAGAAATCATAGCAAATTGCTTGGTCTGAATTTATTTGACAGAAAATTATTAAATGTGAATTATGGAGTAAAGCATTGTGCTGGATACTACGGGGATACAAAGACACGGTTTGTCTTTTTGTGGCAGGTGAGTTTATAAAGGGATAACAAACAACATTTAAAGTCTTTGTGAAATTTGAAGTTCCACAGGGAAAGTACCCCTCCTCATTCCTCCTCCAACAAGTTCTGTGGGGAGTCAGTGTCTGTGGGACCAGGGAAAGGGAAAGCTTCACAAAGGAAGGGATAACTGATCTCACTGTTAGAAAATAGGTGTCCACGAAATATTTATGAAATTGAGTTCAGGCCAATAAAATGTGAAAGGGTACTGTAAGTGAAGGGTGTGATGTGAGAAATATTGCACAGTCAAGAATGGCAGCAAGGGATGCTGTGAACAGAAATGGTGTGAGCCAGAATAAAAGATGCATGTCAGAATCCAGGTGTGGTGGTGCGTGCCTAATGACACCAGCACTCTGGGAGGCTGAGGCAGGAGGATGGCAAATATGAGGCCAGCCTGGACAACTTAGTGAAATAAAAAAATTAAAAAAGGGCTGGGGATGTAGCTCAGTGTGCAGG